ATATCTGCTGCTTATCAGAGACCCGCCTGCAAGACTCGAGCTCTGTACTCACTCTGCGATCCCGAGCAAGCAGTATTTCCTCATTGCGTCTATCCCGTGACGATGCAGCTCCGAGCACCGGCCAAGCTGGTGTTGGCATTGCCCTGAGTTCCCGGGCTGAAGTTGCTCTTGTTGATTGGATTCCAATCAGTAGCCGGATGTGTGCGACCCGATTGGCTGGCTCGTTCAAAGCTTCGAACTCGCGCGGGACTAGTAGGTGTCTATTCATCATCGCTGCCTACGCACCCACAAACTGTAGCGATGATTCGGTAAAGAACGACTTTTACCGCCAACTGACCCAGCTCCTTCGCCACAGAAGAAGCACGGACACTGTTGTGCTGGCTGGGGATCTGAACGCGCAAGTTGGAAAGTTTTCCACTGATGAAATGCATCTGAGCAGTCAGCACGGTTTAGGCTCCCGTAATGATAACGGTGAGCGGTTAATTCATTTGTGTGCAGATGCTCGCTTATTTCTTGCGAGCACTAACATCCGACACAGCATCCGCCGGAGGGTAACTTGGAGCCCACCAGCCTTGCACGCAGATCGACCACATTGCGATAACTTACCGCTAGAGAGGCTGCATCCGGAACTGTCGCTCGATTTGGAGCACATGTGTGGACACCAATCATGTAATTGTATGTGCTGACATTCGGATGCGTTTTGGCGGACGCCCATGACAACGTTGTGAGCGCATTGACACCAGCCAACTAACAAAGCCAGCTGTTCTGAATGCGTATCGAAGTACGCTGACATGCGAGTTGAGTAAGCGCTCACTGGATGCAGTTGAAGGTCACTGGTCTCATATTCACCAGTCCTTATTAACAGCAGGAAAATCCTCATGTAGTATGTCTAATCCCCAACCTGGACATTGGGTCTCTTCACAGTCACTGGAACTAATAGATGCTCGCCGGCATATTCCGGCTGGAAGCGAACACAATGAAACTCGCAAAGAGCTCCGGGCAAAACTCCGTGCTAGCCTGAAGAGAGACCGCGAATCCTGGTGGTCTCATCGTGCATCAGGTATGGAAATGGCCGCTGCCCTTGGTAACCATCGTAATTTATTCCGTCTGATACGGGAAACGGGCAGCAGGAGACCTAGTGACGAGAGTGGACAGCCTATCCACAACTTATCAAAACGCTTGGAGCGTTTGGCTGAGCACTTTGAAAGGCAATTTAATCGGTCGGAATGGTTAGATTTCTCGCCGGCCACTGATCACCCAGCTCCGTGGGCTGTCCTTTTGGATCCACCCTCTCGCTCAGAAGTCGAACGTGAGATCGAACTGTTGAAGTTAAATAAAGCCGCGGAAGCTGATGATCTTCCTCCAGCTTTCTTCAAATTCGGTGGATCTGCTCCTGTTGATGATTTGCACGAGTTACTAGTCAAACTGTGGGAGCAGGAAACTGTCCCAACCGACTGGAGCCGCTCCGTCATAGTCCCAATTGTCAAGACAGGCTCACGATCGGAATGCGGCAGCCATAAAGGAATCAGTCTGATCTCCATCGCCTCCAAATTGCTTGCCTCTCTCATTCTTCACAGACTGATTGGCACTCGTGAAAGCCAGATTCGTGAAGAGCAAGCCGGGTTTCGTCGAGGTCGTGGCTGCATTGACCACATCTTCACCTTGCGTCAGTTGTTGGAGCACCGTCACATATATTGGCGGCCCACCGTTGTCGTGTTCCTCGATATCCAAGGTGCATTCGATTCGGTGGATAGACATGCACTTTGGGACTGGCTACTCAGTAAAGGTGTACCTGAGAAATATGTGAATATTATCCGAGCATTATATGCGCGTAGCACGGGCAGAGTGAGGGCTTACGGCAAGTTGTCGTCGCCCTTTAATATCTCCAGCGGCGTGAGACAAGGATGCGCGCTGTCACCTTTCCTCTTCAACTGCACTGTTGACGAAGTCATGGAAATCGTGTTCACAGGACACGACTTAGAAGGTGTGGATCTGCTCCCGGGAGAACGACTTCTTGACTGATGATATTGCCGTAATCTGTGACAGCTCACAAGCGTGTCAAGCGGCACTGGACAGATTAGCACTAGTTGTCTGTCACTTCGGGCTTTGCTTCGCGCCCTCGAAGTGCAAAGCGTTTTTCCAAGATTCGCCTGGACCGCCTCCTACGCTGACCCTTGGTGGGTATCAGCTGGAAGTTGTTCAAAAATTCAACTACCTGGGAAGTTATATCAGCGCCCGTGGGATTGAAGATGAGATCACGAACGGTATAGCTAAAACTCGGGCACTTTTGCTAACCTTCGCCATTTATGGCGGCGGCGCGACATCACTCTTGCCCTGAAGGGTAGAGTGTACAATGCAGCGGTACGTTCGACCCTACTGTACGGTTGTGAAACCTGGCCCCTTATAGCAACGGACCTGAAGAGGCCACCGATGCCTCTACCGGTTGC